GCCGATGTCTTCAGCACCGACTCCTTGGCCTCCTTCAATGTTGGCCACTTGTTCCACCACGAATCTGTGCGGAACATCCCCTTCCTGATTCCTTCGTTGCGGAGCCATTCGAACACGCGGGTACCACCAGGTGTGCCAATTTGTTTTGTTGGCGAAACTCACGCGTTCAATGCGCTCTGTTTTCAAGGAAACAAAAACACAAAGTCAATACTGCCTTGGCTCATAGTTCTTGAAGGTACGGACTGCCCACGACTGCTTCTCGCACCTCGTCCCAAAATGCTGATGAGGGAGTAGTCATAGAGTGAAGCACAACCCCTCCCACACTTTGAGACAGCCCATCAGTGGCCTTATTGGCCAATCCCGGCTTGTAAAGAACCTTGTAATCATATCCTAACAGCTTGACCACCCACTTCTGTTGACTGGGACTACTGATCCGTTGGTCCAACATGTGACGGAGTGTTTCGTTGGCGAAACTCGCGCGTTCAATGCGCTCTGTTTTCAAGGAAACAAAAACACAAAGTCAACACAACCGTCAAATATCCGCCGCCGAATGGCGGCGCCGTTGATTTGATCGATTAAAATAGAAACCAAGACGACCGTCAAATATCCACCGCTGGCGTCGGCGATGTTGATTTGATCTATACACCTTTGACTTCTAATCAAACAACCGTTATTCGGTTCACCACCTCCCAAACTAAGTTCGAACGAGGGTGTTCGGCGAATAACCAGAAAATCGAACCAGGAGTGTTCTAAGTTACGTTACCTCTACTCCTATGGAGGTTCCTCTAGAGAGCTCCGCAACTACGACTACAAGCTACGATCTACGACTCTGCAAAGGAGATTTTTGACAGAGCGGTTCTACGAAACTAGAGATAAAAACTGATAATTATGCGACGGTGCAGTTTGAGATTTGATTTTTCCCTCCTTCGCTTCTCTCTCTTCCCAATCTTTATACTTCGCGTTTCTCCTCGTCGTAGTAACTGCCTTCGCGCCTTTGTCTCCCACGTCTTCACTCCTGTCCACTGTGCAGGTAACTTCCTCCTTGTTGCGTGATAATCACGTGCCCTCGAAACTGCTCTTGCTTTGCAGAAACTTGGCGAAACGACCTACAACCTTGTCCATGTAACAATGTTGTTTCACCAATACCACGGCATCGCCTTTCATCAACCGATGTCGTTTTATAATCCAACTCAACTGCACAGACCCGGTTTAACGAACGACATTGTTGTTCGTCAAACAACGTCGTTCTCTATTCTTGCGCCGTCGTTGGGCTTGGCGGGCCTCCTTTGGCCGAACTCTTACCCACTACCGAGTTGTCGTTTTACTTTTTTCGCGGCATCGCTCTTCCTTAAACGATACCGTCTAAAGTAATCACAAATACTAATTAATTAAACCAACCCACATTGTTAACTCGCCGTCAAACCCTCACACCTCGGCACCGTTCTTAGTTAAACAACATCGTTTCCTTGTCTCACGATGTCGTTGAGCTTTTGAGCTTAGCGACATTGTTTTAATTTTAACACTGTCGTTTTAACTGTTGCGGCATCGTTTTGCCTACTCGCGGTATTGCTTTATAATCCGCGGTGTCGTTTCTTTCCTCTTGCGGCATCGTTTTCAACTAAACGACACCGTCCTAAATAATTATTAACAATATTAGTTAATTAATCCGGCCATCACAAGTCAAAATTGTGTACTGACCAAAGACATCATTAGCGCCAAAACGGCTTCGTCTGCCTTTCCCTTTGCGACATTGTTTTTATTTAAACACTGTCGTTTGCTAATCAGTGGTACCGTTGGGCTTACTCGTGGTACCGTTTTTAATTAAACAACATCGCTGGCACAACTAAAAAATACCAGTTCCTTGAACAGCCGCGCGTTTACACTCACTCGCATTGGGCTGGGCGGATTTTGGTCACTTACCCGATATGGTTTTTTGATTAATCGGTACCGCTTATCAGGCTCTGGCGGCATCACTTTTAAATCCGCGGTACCGCTTATCTCCATGCGGAACCGATTTTCCCCTTTCGACAAGGAGTAAAAATAATAATAATTAGAATTAAAAATTCCTTTTTTCAACCCCCAACCAACCGCGCTGCCCCCTTTTGTTTTTTGGCCAACAATGTCGTTTCCAGGGGAGCGGTTACGGTGGTAACTTGGTCCTTGTAGCCACCGTGGTTACTAAGGGTAGTGATGGTATTTTGGTGCTTATTGTTTTGGTAGTGTTGCATATGGTTATTGGTAGTGTTGACGTAGTGGTATTCTGATATTCTGATGCTTATTGTTTTGGTAGTGGTGCATATGTTTATTGGTAGTGTTGACGTTGTGGTATTAATATATATTTGTTTGGATGGATTGGGATTGAATATCAAAAGAATTACTTGCATTTATGTTAATTGCATTGAATTAATTACAGTGGAGAAATAATTTTATACAAAAACTATATTATTCGCTCTATATATCTCTCTCTATTTGATTCTACCTCTTTGCCTTCCTCTGATCCTTTCATCCTTGTGCTTCAACGATTGTAACCATCTGTACTTTTTTCGACTACCTAACAAAAAATCAATACCAATACGAAAAACTAGTACCAATCTAGACAAAATAAATACCAATCCAAGAAAGATCAATACCAATACCAAAAATCCATACTAGTCTAGAAAATCAATACCATTATAAAAAACGTACCATTATTAATAACTTTTTTTTAATAAAGTACATTTTAGGAAATTACAAAATTATATTAACTACCATTTCTCTCTTTTTCTTTCATTTTCACAATCTTCAGCCATATGCTTCTTCCTTTCTTTTCTCAATCTTTCCATTGATTTCGTTCTGTCGAACTAATACCGCTGCAACAATAAAACAATATCAATCCATTACAAAACACTACCGTTGCACAAAATACTAATACCATTCGAGAAATAAAAACACTACCATTTCACAAAAACACCAATACCAATGCGACAAAAATAATACCATTGCGAGAAAATCAATAACAATGCGATAAAAACAATACCATTGAGACAAAAATAATACCAATGCGATAAAAACAATACCATTGCGACAAAAATAATACTAATGCGACAAAATCAATACCAAAACAAAACAAAAAATCCATACAAAAAAAACATGAAATCACTACCAATCCATTAGACAACCACTACCACTTTGAAAAACATCAATACCATTGCAGAAATAAATCTATACCATTACACGAAAACTACCAATATAAACAATCTATACCATTGCATATATGAAGAGAATTATGAACATTGAGGTTTGAACCAATACCATTAGACTTTGAAGAACTACCAGACTAGCATTGTTAATACTAATACACGTGTAATGAACCAATACCAATCTAAAATGTCACTACCAAACAAAGATGAATGAATATCATGTTGTTATATAACCAATACCACTGCACATCGAATCAATACCATTGCAGGACTACCATTACACAAAGGACAAACAATACCAAATAGTAGTGTACTACCAAAAGAAAAGGCGATTTTCCTTAACGAATGTCATTACCAATACCATTGCTTATTAAAGCAATACCATTATGCAAATAAAAAAATTGCAGCCAGTGGAGGAATACGATTACAATTTACAAACGAATAACAAATACTAATTAAAATTATAAGAGCTAATTATACTGCAACAAAATGATCGAATGATCACTCGTATCAAAGCAAGCAATAATACATGGAAAATATACCCAACCAAAAATAGTTCCTCGATATCAAAATTGAAAACGTAAAAAAATCACAAGAACAAGTCATTTAACGAAGAATCAAGGAAGATTATTCCTATTAGCAGCAACTTTACAAGAACACATCATTCCTCACTAGTCACTAGCACAAACATAATCACAAAAAGAAAAGAAAATAACCTGGTGTTATTGGTAGAGACATGTTCAAATAATTCCAGCTTATAGATAGAGAATCGATTTCTTTTTGTTAAGAGGGGAAATTGAGAGTTACGGTTTCTTTGAGGACAGCGTGGGGAGGGGTGGTGTGGGTACGGCGGGGGAGGGGAGAAGGCGGGATGCTGGGGAGAAGAAGAGTTGTTGCCGGGCGGGAGGGGAGAAGAGGGAGGAGGCGGCTGCAATTTCTTGTCCGGAGAAGGAGGAGGCGATTGCATTAGGGTTTGCGGTACAATATATAAAAATAATTTTTTAAAGAATAGTAATCAGGTGTTGCAATATTTTCCTTTCCAAAATTATCCTTCATATAATCTTCACCGTCAACTTAAAAATAGGATGAAATAGATATAATTAAGGGTGTAGATGTTAGTAGCCACAGTGGTTACTCAAAATTTAGTAACCACTCTAACGCATTCCTCGTTTCCAGTGCCGCGGTACCGCTGGACTTCCTTGCGGTACCGTTTTTCTTTTTCCCGGGATCGTTTCAACTCCCCGCGACACCCTTTTTTACCCGCGGTATCGGATTAAATGCCGAGACTAATTAATGCGGCATTTAATTCCGGCCAAATTAATTTTAGGTTTAAACAAATGCCCCCCACAATTTGGTTTATAAGAATTATGAACCAAATTGTTGACATAGCTTACAACACCTAAAATAACTTTCAAAACAACACCTGCTACATACAAGAACAACATCGCAATCACAGGCTAAAAACTTGGTCTAGAACATTGCCGAATTGAACCAAGTGATGGCCACTGCTCCTTAATTTTCATGCCCATGCAATAACGTTGCTAAGCCATGCAAAACTGCGGGGCCAAAATTGACCTGCATCATTGCCAAATTAATTTTCATGCCCATGCAACTACGTTGGCGAGCTTGCAAATCCTTTTTTTTTTATTTTCGGGGCTGTTCGCGATTCGCACCAATCCCACAAGCAAATTTCCGCAGGGCTGCTTCAGCGAAATGGCATTTGATTTTTTTTTATTCATTCAGGGTTGTTTGGCCGCCCTAGCCGCAGCGCTGACTCCTTCCCCTTTTTTATCTCAGACCTGGCGGCCTCTTCCCTCAAAGCCATTAATTTTTTTTTTCTTACCGGGGCTATCAAATTTCCGCCACAACCGCAGCGCTGAGACTTTTTTTTTTTTTTTATCATCAACGTTGTTAGCAACAGCGGCAGCTCTGCATGCAAAATTCTTTTTTTTTTATAGTTCATCATCAATGTCGAAAATTTGCTCTACCAGCACTGAGTAACCACCATTCTTCTAAAACAACGTCGCGCCGCCGCCTTTCGTTCTAACGGCAGCGTTTCGTCACATATTTTCCCTTGAGATAGGCTTCCCAGCAACGTTGGAGTCCCCTTTCGTGACATTGCGGGCCTGCGGCACTCCAAAGCATTGGCGTTTTTTACGTCCACGCTAGTCATGTTGCTTCATACCTCCCTTGTAGTCTTTAACGAAACAAACAACCACCCAATTTTTGCAACTCCATTTTGGTTCGCTCTTCTCGACGCGGCCGCACTGTTGTGCCGGGCATGCTCGTTTGTTTAAGACACAACAACAATCATACGGGACCGTTGGATCCAAATACGTTTCTGCAAGATTTAAACGCAGCTGCTTGTGTGGCCTCGCAATACTGTTTGTCCAGCATTTCACTAATGTGATTTTTACATACCTCTTCATGCGGCCATCACACTAAAATATATGAAAACACCGCTGCACAGCTTTGCAGCTCGGTTTTGCCCGAAAGCAGCCGCGTTTTGAACCTTTTTCCTTTTAACCACATCGTTAAAACCACTAACCAGCATGGTCTCTCCCAATCGTGTAAACACACGAAGCTGCAGCGCTGTTTTTGTCTGTAAAAAAAACCCAACATTGTTGCCAAGCAAACTTGCGGCAAAGAAGGTAGGAGTGAGTGAGTGACCTTGTTGAATTTAACTTTGGTTTGCAGCGTTGTTTAGTTTGCACCACTGTTGTCGCCAAATTCAAACCAAACTACAACAACCTTGCATCCCTGCGATGCTGCTTGGGCCAGAGTTGATTTTTTTTTTTACATACTTGGCCCACATGCGACGACAAGTTTCCCGCCTCAACAACACCGGGCCACCAGTCCTGGTCCAGCTCCGCAATGCTGCTTTGCCAAAACTAAAAGTCAAATTCGCGGCACTGCTCCCTTTCTCCTACCGCACTGTGGATGATAGAACAGTAGTGTTTTCCGTAGACTTACTCCAATTCATCTCCGCACTGTGCAGTAGCCAAACAAAGTTGTTTTGGCCAATTTTCTATTCGAGGCAACTTCAAAATATTGGTTGTGCCATGCAAAGTAAGCCTCCGTTTTTTATTAAATCTTGGCCAAGAGCATAATTTTCTATTATTATTTAATTTTGGCCAAATATAATCTCCTCACCATTTTGATTTAACGGCTCGTACCTGCCGTGTTGCTTCGGCAGCGTTGGTGGATCTCTAACTTGAGATCCTATTCCCTTCCAACGTTGTAATCCCAAACCAAAAGGGACACTACTTCTTTCTACCCCGTCGCGGTGATTCCAAATAAATAGGTCACCCGTGCCAACCCTAAACTTATCCGAGTTCAAACAACAAAACAAAACTTCACCCAACAACGATTTGCTCAAACCGTACCTCAGATTTCTGCGCAGCCGAAGTCACTGCCATGTCATTGCAAGGATTTTCTTCGATCACCGAGTAAGTCCTGTGATCTTAACTTCGCATTGATATTGAAGTTGTATCACTCCCCTTAACGATGTCATCTCTAGCCGTTTACACACCTGTTTTTGGTCTAGCGAGCGGCCACCACCGCATGTATGACTATCACTAACCTAAACTAACTTCTTTGTGAATGCAGCCTCGACGCGTTTCTCCTCCCGTTATCTCCGGGGGAACGACGTGACCTTTTGGAAAACATGGCCAATGCTGATTTCACTCTCGAGACGATATCGAGAGACGATAATGAGGAGGGCTGGCTTGGTCCACTCATTCGTGACTGAACCACTGCCATAATGGAGTTATTGGACGTTTTTTCAATTCACCACTCTCAGCTCCTGTTTCGTCTCCCCGTTATCAGCCCACTCTTTAAACGGAAGACCCGAGCAGGCATTAGGCCTCGACCGATTTTTTTCCCTATGTTTGGAGCTGCCGAAACCTGATCCTGAGTTGTTCAAAGCCGCTATCTGCTTCAGGTCGACGGATTCGAACTGTTTCGTGCTCCCTCTAGGATCGATGACGATCACTCTGCTCGACATAGCGGCCCCGACTGGTATATCAAAGCCGCGTGTGCAATCAAAGAGAGCCTTGGATCCAACTTCATTGATAGCCTTCGGCCGATCTTACAAATCACTCTACAACAGCAATGCACCTCTCATTCCTGGTGAACCTGTATCCGACAACGAGCGGGTGGCCTTCCTTCATTACTGGTTTGGCCGATTCGTGATTTGCACCCACCAACCCCCACGGATGCGCATACCACCTCTGCGCTCTTCACCGGCGAATGTGTCAATCTTGATGAAACTGTGCTCTGCCACCTCTATCGCGGCATGTATACCATCGTTAACCGTGTCAAGGAGGCTACAGACGAAAGTGGCATCCTCAGTGCTGGACCTCTATGGCTACTACAACTTTGGCTGCATGCTTATTTCCCGGCGACTCGCGGCCTTCAACCACGGACGGCAGTTCAAGATACCACCATGCTCACATATGGCCATTGTTTGGCTAAAGCGGCTTCGCGAAAAGGGGATTTTACTAATTATTTACCTTCTTTTATGAGGCCCGAGAGATCCCCAGCTTCACTCCTTTTGCAGAACGGGTATTCGGCATCGCTTCATTCAAACTCATTTTTTACGAGCCACCACCGCAAGGTGATCCCACTTACCATGAATTCCTCGAGGAGCACAAACGTCACCTAACATCTCGGGACCTCCTCTTTGCTCCCACCGGCTCCGAAGTACTCAGCATTGAAACTTACAACCCTCAACTTGCATCTCGACAATTCAGCCTTGTTCAAGCATGGCCTATGTTACCTCCCTCGTCTTTGAATTTTCCAAAATTTCACCAACGACCCCCAGATCTTACCGAGGGACGAATTATGGAGGTACGAGGACACCAGGAATCCACACAATACTTTCCTCCTCATAAAAATGTGGTGAATAAAGTCTCGCCCCAATTCAAGGATGCATGGAATTCACTGGCATCACATATTTTTGGCAAGCCGTTATCTGATATTCTCGCCCGGCTTGCTCCTGACCACGATGATGGTTCAACCACGACAGCATTCGATACTCTCTCGAAACGGCGAGCATGTAAAACCCTCGTCCCTAGACTCCTCCTTATGCTTGCTGTGACATTCATATTTCAACTCCCGCCTTACTTAAAACTTCAATTGTTGCAGTTCTTGAGAGTCGTCATCCATTAACTCGCCTCCCTCCATCTCTTCGCAGAGCACCCATCGAGGTTAGCATTACCCATACTTTTTTATCCTACCCGACCATCTTTTGGATAACTTCCTTCCCACACCCTTGCCTCCTTTTGCAGGTAGACACCGACGATTTTGATATCTAGCACAATCCCAACACCGCGATGGAATCATCTAGGACCTCTCTCCCCGCGGCGTCTCCACCTACGGCTGGGCTTCGACACCAAGTCCAAGAAGCATTGAAGATGATGGATCAATTTCTTAGCATTCCTCTGGTGACTTCCATGAATGACCAAACCATAGTATGGCTCGGCTCTGCTTGCAAGACTCTGGAGACTTTGAGAATTAACATTCCACCACTTAGTGCTGCTGACATGACGTTCCTCCGCACGGTGGGTAAAGACCTACTGGAACGCGGGAAAGCTGTGGAACCAGCTTTGCAAGTGGCTAGAGCAAGTACAATGCCTACTCTCCCAAAGGGGCTGAACAAATGCGACGTGAGGAAGCAGCTCGGCTCGCCACTGACCCCACTCGTGTGGAGATAGAAGCGCAGGTTGAGCTGCAAGCAGCGCAAAGCTTTTTCACTCGCGTCCGCACTACTATATCCCGCATTTCCCAGCAGCTCGCCGATTACGAGCCGTCTGACTCCTAGAGAAATTCTTTTCTGCATTTTGGAATTTACCTCGAATTTTTGTTTTGGCATCGTTTCTCGGATTGCATACTCTTATTTGCCATGTTAACTCGACCTATAAAGAACTTAGTTTGCTCATCGTCGTTTATCGGATTTTGGCGGACGATTGCTCTCTTTTCCTTAATCCGTAGCGCCGCTCTAAACTCGATGACCGTGCTTGAGCATGGCTGACTAGCTAGTTCTAGCCACGATAGCCTTCCTACTTTTCTTATGCCAAGTACCAAATTGTCAACAATGTTACCCATGCCTACTTCTCATGGCTAAAACAGCTTCATTTGACAAGATAGGAACATTTTGGTGCCGAACAGCGGTATCACACCGGATGGACTCGAATGAACCCTGCCGCTGGCCTTAAAGGCATTAAAAAAATTGTATTAATAACGGAGTTGGCAAATTAGTGTATTTGTTGTGTACTTTGCCATTCCCGTACTATTCAACCACGTTGTGCAAGCTTGGTGGCCGCCGAGGCCACATCCTTTTAGCACATGGTTGATCGTCATTGCGCAGATTAATGACCAGTTGCGTCCCATAGGGACGACACATATGAATTTAAATATTTGCCATTTATCAAACGCTCATGCACCACTACATCTAAATCTTTCAGCAGGTATGCTCCATTAGGACGCACAGAATGTACCACAAATGGTCCACGCCAATTCGGCGACCATTTTCCAAACTTGGGATCTTTTTCCCCAATCGGCAAGTGAGCTTTCCAAACCAGTTCGCCCTCCTCGAATGATTTGTGCCAAACCTTCTTGTTATACGCCCTTGCCACTCTTGCTTTATACACTCGAACATTATCGAGGGCGCGGAGTTGAAGCTCATCAAGATTGTAGAGCTCAAGCATCATTGATTCATGATACTCCTGAGGTGTTAACTCGTGCTGCTTCATATATCGGAGTGAGTTGACGGTCACCTCCACGGGAAGGATTGCTTCATGAACGTAAGTTAACGAGAATGGACTCACTCTCGTACTGCTCCGCGGGGACATCCTGTATGCCCACAACGCTTCTGATAAAATTTCATGCCAACGTCGCGGATTATCCTCAATCATCTTCGTCAAGATATTTTTCACGACCTTGTTGGATGCTTCCGCCTTTCCGTTAGCTTGTGCGTAATACGGCATGGAATGGATGATTTTTATCCCCCGCTCCGCCGCGAACTCCATAACTTGCCCCCTAGTGAACACCGTTCCTTGGTCCGCCGTTATTGTTGCTGGCAAACCAAATCGATGAATAATGTGTTCTTGTATGAAAGAAATTACTTCCTCTTGGTTCGCCACCTTCAACGGTTTGGCCTCCACCCACTTAGTGAAGTAGTCAGTGGCCAAAATTATGAAAACATGTTTTTCGACGATGGAGGATAAATCATACCAAACAAATCCATGGCCCAACCATAAAACGGCTTCGGTTTGACTATGGATTTCAGATCCACCGCGGGCGCTCTTTGAACGGGACCGTGACGTTGACAAGCTTTGCAACCCTTGGCATACGCGGCACAATCTGGCCCGATCGTGGGCCAGTAGAATCCGTAGTGATGTAGAATCCATCGCATGGAAGGACCAGCTTGGTGAGCTCCGCATATTCCTGCATGCACTTCTGCCATAGCTTGCAATGCCTCCTTGCCCCCCAAGCATTTCAACAATAACCCATCAGGTCTGAGTTTATACAAGGTCCCATCCAAAACTACGTAGCTCCTTGCTCTAAACTTGACAGCATGGTCAACGACCTTGTTTGGATCTTGCAAGTAAGACAACAGTGGTGCACGCCAGTCGTCGGCGTCTTTCTCTATTACGCAAACTTACTCGACTCTCAACCGCTCCCGCAAGGGCTTAAGTGTTTGCACCACTATTTGTTCTACGACATTGTTTTTCGCAAACTCTTTAAATCCCGAAGCCATTTGTGCAAGATAGTTGGCATCGCTGTTGTCCATACGAGGAACAAAGTTGATCGCCATACTGTCGAAGTGGGTTGTCAACGACAATACGTGGTCCAGGTATGTTTCTAGAACGTTGTTGATACAGCAAAAATCCCCACGGACCTGATGAACCACCAACTGTGAATCTCCCTTAACATCAGCGTGGCGGACTCCAAGCTCGATGAGCATTTCCAGCCCGACCACCAAAGCTTCGTATTCGGCCTGGTTGTTGGTGCAAGGAAAATCCAACAAGAAAGCAAAATGCATGGCTCGGCCTGATGGTGCTTTCAACATCACGCCGGCTCCAGCACCGCCACGAGTTTTTGATCCATCAAAATATAGGATCCATGGCGTTATACCAACCTCGCAAACTTCTACGGGATCGACTGGCACCTCAATGCAGGGATGATCTGCCAAGAAGTCCGCCAATGCTTGCCCTTTTATGGCTCGTTGGGGTACATACTCTAAATTAAATTCAGATAGAGCCAAGGTCCATTTGCCAATTCGGCCATGAATAATTGGCCGAGATAGCATCTATTTAATCAAGTCTGTTTGGCAAATGAGTTGTACCTGGACAGGGACCAGGTAGTAGCGTAGCTTTGTACAAGAGAAGTACAATGCTAAACATAACTTCTCTATGGGGGAATACTTCCTCTCACCCTCGTTCAGAAGCCTACTTAGATAATAAATGGCTTCTTCATTGCATGCTTCATTGTCTTGAGCCAATAAACACGCCACAGAGGTATATGTGGCCGACAAGTACAACTTCAGCGGTACCCCTGCTTTGGGAGAGCTCATTACTGGCGGTGTCGCCAGGTATCTCTTGATATCATCAAACGCATGTTGATGTTCTTTCCCTCCATACAAACTTGTCTTCCTTCTTCAACTTCAGCAATGAGGAAAACACTTGAGTCCGGCCAGCACAATTCGAGATAAATCTTTGAATGTAATTTACCTGACCGAGGAAACGTTGCAACTCTTTTTAACTAGATGGTGGTGCGGCATTGATGTTGGCTTTTGTTTTATTGCCATCTACTTCAATTCCACGCTGGTTTACCAGAAAACCAAGAAAATTCCATGCACTCACGCCAAACGCACATTTGAGCGGATTTAATTTCAACTTATGAACACGCATATGCAGAAATGCTTTGCGCAAATGAGCAAGTTGGTGGTTTGTCACCTTTGATTTGACAATGATGTCGTCCATGTACACTTTGACAAGCTCGCCAATCAAGTCATGAAATATTGCATTCATGGCTCGTTGGTAAGTCGCCCCGGCGTTGGCCAATCCAAATGGCATCATGATCCACTCGAAACAGCAAATGGATACTGGACACCGGAACGCTGTTTTGTGTACATCCTCCTCGGCTATGTATATCTGGTTATAGCCCGAGTAACAGTCCATGAAAGAAAACCTCACATGCCTGGTTACGGTATCGATTAACATGTCAGCCACTGGCATGGGATGTAGATCTTTCGGCGTAGCATTGTTCAAATTTCTAAAATACACACAAACACGTATTTTGCCATTTTTCTTTCTAACAGGCACAATGTTCGACAACCACAACACATACCTAGCAGTCCTGATAAACTTAGCTTTCATTAAACGTTCAATTTCCTTTTTCACTTCAGGCAAGATATCATGCGAAAACCGCTTAGGTGGTTGTCTATGTGGCTTATACCCTTCTTTAATTGGAAGTCTATGTTCAACTAACTTCCTATCGAGACCAGGCATTTCATGATAATCCCATGCAAAGCAGTCTTTAAACTCTTTAAGGAATTCAATTAATTCGTACCTGTCGGACTCTGGCAGACCAGCACTGATGAAGGTTGGGCGTGGATCCTCCTCCGTGCCAATGTTGATCTCCTCTAAAATGTCACATGCAGCCAAGTTGCTTTTCTTCTCCACTTCGTCACTCACACCCTCGCCGTTGATCGGCAAGTCATCATCGTCGGGGACACAGTCGGCCATCAAGACAGGCTCCATACAGACAAGCCTTTGTTCACATTGGTAGACGGCCAACTTCTACCGCAAGGCCGTGATCTCGGCCTCCACCACCTTTTCTCGAGGTGGTTCACTCATCATTGACTTGTTCATCAGCTTTCAGTGGACCATCCAATGTGATCATCGATGGTTTCACGATTTTGGACAATGGGTCCAAGCACGCCTTACTCAACACCTGCGCACTTGACACTATGACGTTGGGCGTTCCTCCATCCCCGCTCCATATTTCGAGTGGTCCAAAATCCCCATGGTACAAGTAAGCTTCGGCCACATTGGCCCCAACGGCAAACGGCTTTGCGTCAGCTTGGACCACATCAACGATACCGTCTTCATTCCAGAGCATCAAACATTGATGCAGCGATGAAGGAACGCACTTGTTGGCGTGGATCCAATCCCGACCAATTAGTGCGTTGTAACTTATCATTCCATCCACCACGAAGAAAGCACTCATCCGCTTGTGTGATCCAACTCCCACGACAACTGGGAGGATTAGCCTGGCAGAAATGGACCCGCCATTGAAACTTGTCACAAACACTTCCGTTGGGATCAAGTCATTAATGTTCTTGCCCAACTTCTTCAGCATCCTTGTTGGCATCACATTTACTGCGGCACCATTGTCAACTAAGACTCTCGACATTGGTACGTCATCAAGTGTGGCCTTGATGTAGAGAGGCCTCAAATGCCGCATCATCTTCGGGTCGGGCTCGTTGAAAACAACGACCCTGTTCGATTCTTCACCCGCGGTTCCTTCGTCCAAGGCTTTCCCTTTCGCCTCTGCTGCTCGGATAGATTTCTCCAGCTCGTCGAAGTCTGACCCCCATGTGATGTTCTCCACTGGCACACTTGTTGACTCTTTCATGCCTTGGTATAACACGTAAAAATGATATCTTCCCCCATCTTCGCCCAGTAGCCCAAAAGCTTTGTGGCCTTCTTCATATAGCTCTTTCAGGATCCGCTGCGAACTCTTGTACTGCTTGGCTGACTCTACTGCAAGTCAATTCGACCATTCGTGCGAGCCATCATTGCACTCCACGGCTCAGCCTCTATTGGCAAATCCGCGGACTCGCCAACCAGCTCTGCTGGCTCCTCATCCTCTTCCTCTAAAGTCAGTTGAGCAAAACCGCTCATCAGTTCAGCAAAATTGACCTCCTGAG